TAGAACAATTTTAGTCAAGCCATTTGTTTTTATAAATTTTTAAAAGGTATTTATTTTCATGTCTGCATTTAGAAATTAAATCACATTTTTTGTTTAGTAAATTTTTTTGATCCATATGATTAATAATTTCAAGTTTTTCTTGTAAACATAGTAAACATTTTTTGGAAATGTTATTATAGGCAGGCGCTCTTTTTAGAATAGACCAGTTTAATTTTTTTCAAAAATTAAAGTTTTTTTCTTTTAGTTGTCAAATATATTTTGACAGCATATGCTCTTTTGAGTATTTTTTATATTTAAGAGATTGTTTGTGGTTAGCATAACATTTTTTCCATTTGCCCTTGGTTAAGCCAATAAACTATTTATCAGGGTTATTTTGCGAGGAAACAATGCATTTGTAAATAACATTTTTTGATAAGCATTTGCCATTCATTGGGTGGTTAATTCTTTGCTTGCAATTACAATTTTCAGTATTTTTTTCTTTAAGAAATTAATTTTTATTAATCAATGCAAAATTGTGGTTTTTTATGATTTTTTCAATATTTTTTGTACTGCTATAGCTTAATACTATACTTTAATAGTGTTTCTGTTCACCATTTTGTGCAATTTATTACAGGGAGGGAAATGTTTGTTTATTAATTTAAAAATGCTTTTCCAATATTTGTTGAAACATTTTTGCTGTACGGAGGGTTAAACCAAATTATATTTCTATTTTGCTATTTTACAGTTTTTGTTTCAAATTTTGGCTCGAAATTTTTAAATCCATTTTTTTTTTTAGAGCATCTTCATACGCGGGTTTGGAAGAGTTAAAAATATTTTCTTTAGAAAAGTTTTGATTTAGTCTATTGTTAATTGATATAGGAATTTTTTTAATGTTCATTTGGATTTGGAAGCCAATGTTTTTGAAAAATTTTCTAATTTTGTTAAGTTGAGGCTCTGATTTTTTTGTATTATTATTAACCATCATCACAATACAAGCCTATTTAATTAAAATGAACTATTTTAGCAAGGAACTTATAATATATAAGCCTACAAACTCTCAAATTTCTGCTCCGTCCTAACTTCCCATTGTTACGTCAAAGCATTTGTGGTTTTTTTCTTCTACATCTTGTTATTAAAATAGAGTAAAGTTTTTCTGCAATTTTTAATTATTCTTGTAGTTGTCAATATCAGCTCTGTTGTACCATAAGAAAAAAAAACATGAAGACTTTGTGTATTCCCCTTGCAAGTCAAGCAAGAAAGCAAGCATCTTGAAATCACTACAAAAATTCTACTCATTTTCAACATCAGAATTAAGAATAATTAATTTTTAAGAAGTTTTTTGACGATAACATAGTTATCTTTCTTCTTTATCTTCAGTATTCTTTTATATTAATAGATAATATTGTACAGAGAAGTGAAAGTAACAGATAGATCAAATTGGACAGAGAAGTGAAAAAACCAGTTACATCTTTACATAGATCATTATACAAGGCGTAGTAAATTTAAAGTTTTTCTTTTTGTCTCCAGTAATCACATCTCCTGCATTTATTTTCTAGTAGTTTTTATTCCTTCAGCCTTGGTGAGAGAAGTTAGTAAATTATTAAGACTTAGTAACCTAAATCTCTAATTGAGTCTTTATTAAAAAATAAATGTATAGTAAATTTTAATTTAGTTAAATGTATGACTTTTAGAGAACAATATAAGATAAATACTTATACTTTGTGGTGGTAGGGTGTCATCATGTGAGACAGGTGCTGGTATGTCAGGATATTGAAGAGGTTGTTGTCCTTTTGCTTTTCTGTGTTTTTTAATATCAATCATACAAAAATAGTAGTCATCATGATAAATCATTTTACACACTGTGAACAGCACAAGTCATTACCTTTCTTCGCCTTTTAACTATTCTAGTAGTTAAGCAGGTTCCACATATCACATTATGGACCCATGGCTTGTCTTGATCACCCAATGACATTTCTTTTTTTTTTATTTCAGTATTTGGGATACGCTATGCTTGATATTACATTTCTCACAATTTTATGTAATTCTTGCTTTTTGCACAAAACAAAATATATCTGAAGAATTTTTACATCAAATATTAGCCATTATGAGGATAACAAAACTAAAAAACCTGAAGGAGAAAATTAGATATATATTTAATAGTGAATTATATTACAACTTTAAATTTTTATATCATTTAAAAGGAAAGGGAATTATTTATTGTAAAGCTAGTTCAAAAAAGATTTTTTGGAAGAGAAAAAAGATCTTTTGATGAAATTTGTGTACCTTGTGAAAGTTGATAGAGTAAAATGGTAATGTGGTATGCTTTGAGTTATTTAAATTGTAGAATGATTAATAACAGTTGTTAAAGCATATATGAAAAATATATTTTGTAAAAATATTTTAAAATATTATAAATTGTTTTGTATGCCAAAGTCACAACAGCAATCAAAATAAAAGATGAAGAGAGTAATAGGTTTAAAGTATTGGTGTTCACCAGGTTCAGTTTAGGTGGTTAAACCATGGTTCATTTTTTAGTCCTCTGCATTTTATTATTGTTTTAGAAGTTTACTTTAAAGAGTTCAAACTTTTTAGAAAGATCTTTCGAAAAACAAACGCTATTGTTTGTACAGTTTGTAAGCAAGGGATTCAAGATGCATATTATCTGTTTTGAATATAAAAACCTAATATTGTTGGTTTTGAATTTTAAAAAATGTACTTTTAGTGAATATAGAGAAAAAATGAGATTGAAACAAATATTTATAAATTATAGTAATATATAATATGTTATAATAGAATAGATTACATTTGTAAGTTTTGTTATCAACAAGAGATTAGAAGCAATTTTTTTTATCAACAAAATTATTATCAAGATTAGAAGCAATTACATTAAGAGCAAGATTAAGGTGTGTCTGGACACACCTTAATCTTTAGAACCTATATCACACCATAATCTTTCGAGCTAATTTAAAAAAATTATCTTCATTTCCAGAGTTGCATCACTAAAGATTAAAGAAAAGTTACCATTTCAAGTATTATGATGTAAAATAGTGAAACATGGGAAATGAGGTTTGATGATAAAACAGCATAACTTTCTTCTTACATTGAACAAGTAGATTTGGTGAATTTTGAAAGAGGTGATTCCACAGATAAAAAGTTCATAAAAGATTAAAATTATCGTAAAAGATCAAACAATTTTGATAATAACAATCAAAAGTTCCTCTTCGAGATGAACTAGCTCTACAATGATATCCATTATGAAATAATATTGTTACTTAGTTTATAAGTTTCTTAATGTTTTGTGAAATTTTTTCCAGCTAAACCTAACATTAAATGCTTCATTGAAATGTATAATTAATGAATTTTTTGGAATGGAATGGAATGTATAATTAATGAACTTTATTGGAATGTCAAATGAATTAATGTTTAATGAAAATCAAATGTCTTTTTTTAAATCCTACTAAGTATCAGTAAGTAATAAATGACAACTTATAACTTGTAACTTTCTATAAAAACCCGCTAAGATTCTTATTAAACTGTTGTTTTTTTATTAATTTTTTTGTTAATACTTAATTTTAATAATATTTTTAACATGAAAATTTTAACATAAAAAATTTTAACATGAAAATTTTAATATAAAAAAATTAATTTTAATAATATTAATAATAATAATAATTAATTTTTTTTATTAATACAGTGATTATTTTATTTAACATTTACAGTTTGCATGTAAAAGTTAAAACAAAAAGTTAATTTAAGATTTCTTTATGATCAGAAACCTGTTTAAAAGTTCCCTCAACTGATTAATGACATCAGAATAGGGAACTTTTAAACATGTTTCATACATTTTCTTAAAGTCAATTCTTTCTTTTCTTTTATTGTTTGAAAGATTGGGTATAAATGGATTTGCTTTTTTCCATAAAATGTTTTTTGAGGCCTACAATTTTTCAGAAGTTTGTCATAAATTTGTATCATTTTTTTCTACAAGAAAAAGTCTAAGAAAGTTTTTAATCTTTGTTAATTTTTTATTATTCTTATGTTTTTATCAGAATATTTTTGTCAGATATAACTTTTTTATATATCAGTGCTTAATTAAAAATGTTATATTTTAGGTGCGAATGGTGATTTGATTCATAGCCCAACTAACACATTGCATCGTTTAGAATCTTAAAAAGTGTTCTTACTCTAAAAACATTTTTATTAATAGTTTTATTAATAAAATTCGAATGAACTTTGTTTAAATTTTTAAATTTATTACAAGATTGTGAACCAATACTTTTTTTCATATTTCTATAGCCATGGTGCAGTGGTTACAGCCATGGTGCAGTGGTTAGAGTTCTGGTTCAGAACCCAGAGGTCTGAGATTCAACAAAGGCTCTAACCCAATATATCATTAATAAGGAAGGAGGTGTGAACTTTCTATTTAAATGCTCTTCTGCGGTGCTCTGTAATAAAGACTTCTGGGAGCACTCTAATAACAAATAAAAAAAAAAGTATGTGTACATGTGCTATTACTTCTTTCTGAAATATGGTTCATAAACAGTTTTTAAGTCTGCTACTCAAATCTATTGCTCTAATCTAAATTTTGGTTAACATAAATAATGACAGAATTATGTTATTAATACATTTTACAAAATTTATGCATTTTTATGGTAAAAAGTTATTTAAACATTATAAGTTATAAAAAAATCATTGTCTGTTGTAATTTGTAAAATTTTGATTATTTTAAACTTTGACTATTGTAATTTTTGATCAGATTTTGTCAGTCATCAAAATTGGGGTCAATTGGCAATCAAATATTTTGAGTGACTTTGTGTGATAAAACAATATATTTATGGTAAAACAATATATTCTTGACAAACCGATATATTTGTGTCAATATGGTATATTTGTGATAAAACGATATATTTATGATAAAATGCTAAATTAACAACCAACATTTTAAAGCTTAAAGTTACTTTTTGCATTGTGTTCTTATCATTCAAAAGGTCATCAGCTCAATTGATTTGTGTGTGAATTTTTAGCTTCAAGTTCAGAATGACGAAAGCATTGTTTACGCATCAACCTATCAACGATCTCTTGAGGTTTTATTTGATTTTATTTGAAAAAGTTTATTTGTATTTTAATCAAAAATTCATTTTTATTTTATTTTAATTTCAAGTTCTAATTCCTTAAGTTAAAATGTTTTTTTGAACATTTCGTTGTTTCACTTTTTGTTCTTCAATAGAGACCAATAACTACAAATTCTACAACAGAAGCAATATATCATGACATTCTTCTTGAAGATGTTGAAAAAATTACACCTAGAGATCTGCTTAGTTTTGCATACCAAGTTGCAAGCGGAATGGTAAGAGGGTATTTTTTCTGTTTTAAATTGTTTTTTTAATTAAAAAAAACTTTGGTATCTTTTTGACTACCACAAGAAACAAAATTTTACATTTCTTGAAAAATTATTAAAACCTTGTAATGTAAATAATTTTACACAATAGACTCAAACACTTAGGGTTTACATGGGATACAGAGCACTCTACATTTGCCTCACTTGATCGGGTAAATATTGCTGAAAAAATATTTCATTTTCGGGCAGCTGTCCAAACTCTTGTACAATCTAGAATCTGTTTTGCTCATTTAAAACTATCACACAATTATATCAAACCTTGCTAGTACCAACATTAACTTACGGTCTGGAACTTAGTAAAACCATTGAATAACAATCCAATATATACAATATATAGCAAGACCATTAAGACTTCTTATAACACCTTTAAATAAATGTAAAAAAAGCCATTTGACTAAATACCTGAAGTTATTTAGTCAAATGGCGGCTTGCGAATTAGCAATCAAAGTTTAAAAGTATTCTCATCAACGATTGTTATAATAAATTTATAAATAAGACACAGTGAATTGTTTTGTTTTATTAAGTAATTAGGGCATAAGTTGTATTTTATTATAAATTTTTTTGGCTTCTTTTATTTTTAAAGGTGTTATAAGAAGTCTTAATGGTCTTGTCTAAGCACACTGCTACCAGGAGAATATTATTTAATAAGTTGGCTCTCCGTTCCATAGTATTGTTCATGTGCTTCAGGGATCGAAATCAAAACCCTTGCGCCACAGCTGCTATTCGATCGTTGAATTCAACATTTAATAAATCCAATTAATAATCATTATTAATTTAATAAGTCATTTAAAAAGCAATATAAATCTAAATATTTAATTCAAGAATTTAACAAAAGAGCAAAGCAAATAAATCATCAAATGACTGAGAATAACATCCTTTCCATAAACCTTTGCTACATTTTTTGGCTAAGTAATTTTGTTGGCATAGATTTATGTCTGCCTTTAAATCTATATATGAAATATAAAGCTTCAGAAACTAATAATTAACTTAATAATAATTTTAAATTCTACTTGAGGTTGAATATGAGTTTCTTCCAAGCAGATATTCTTGATTGGACCACTATCCGAGCGTATATTCTTGATCGGTCCACTATCCGAGCATATATTCTTGATCGGTCCTCTAAATTTTAATCTATCGGTTATTTTTCTATCCAACTTTTTTAAATGGGTTCTACTAGGATTTCATTTCGATAAAGGCTACAACTGTGTGAAGTTTTCCTACTGATATCTCTTCTAGAATAACCACCAAAACACTCATCCAACTTGTGTTTGATACAGTATTGTCTAAAAGAATAGCACAAACTGCTCTCCAAGCAACATATTTTATGCTGTTTAAGTAAACTAAATTTCTTATGAGCAATAACATCCCCGGTAACAGGTATTATTCTGTGGGTCAGTTAAATTCAATAATATTTACCGTTATCATGTGTGAAAGTAAGGTCATGATCGGCAGCAACACATTTTGTTATGAAATATTTTTCAGAATATTACGGATGTCAACTGCCGGTAAAAATAGATGCTTGATATCATGTTGTAAGATTTCCAAGAGCTATGCCAAGATTTGAAGAATATTCGCCTTTGACCATTTCCATAGCATGTCTCGGAAACTTCTGAATTCTATGATCTGCTAGAGTTTTTTTACTTGGTTACCATTCATTGTGTTCTATAGGTAAAAAGTAAAATATTAAAGATAAGCAAATTTAAAATAATAAGTGTTAAATATATACCATAAATTAAAAGTTTAACGTCACGCAAACAAAAATACCTGAGGTTTTATTATTTCAACTATATATTCTAGGAGATCTATTAATGAACTTTAAAGCTCATTATTATTATGTTAGTGATGAAAAATATTTTCTTCTGTTAAATCTTGTTACTGTTTTTAGCAGGTATATCTACCGAAGACATTTTTTTTATCTACCGAAGACCTGGTTTTTAAATGACAGTCTCGTAGCTAAGCCCTTTTTTTGATAGGCGCCTTTGCTACTCGCCTTTGCTTCTAGGGTATACACAAACTATTTGTTCCATTGTGCATTTATCTTTTTTGCAATTAACCTAAACATTGTTAAATTACACAATGCCTAATAAACAGCTGTAATCAGATATGTCAAATAGTTTATTTAGTTTAGAATCAAGGTTACGCTCGATATTTGCTTTTGCAAATATCAGTATCACAATTGCAACCTCTGTAACTCTCTTCACTTTTTGGTTACCGAAGGGGACATTTTTATTTTTGGCGTTTCTTAATTTCTATAACTAAAATATTTTGTTTGCAATATTATTATGAGATACTTATAAAAGTTAATTGCAATGAATTAATGAGAGCTGTGGCTAAGCTTGCCCAAACACCTCAAAAGCAAGTGGGGGGATGGCAAACCGAGCAAATTTAGAACCTTTTTTTCAATTTTGAGGAGATTTTTTTCAAAGTAGTACCTAACAATTCATGTTTTTTTTAAACTTTAGGGCCTTAATATCAGATTTTGGAGCGGGGCTTCTGACTCAAAAGCCACGGCGCTGGAATTAACATTAATTTACTAAAAAACTAAATAATTTAAATTTTGCACAAAATATTAACTTGATTGTTAATAATATTTAAACATTTGTAAAACGTTTTTATTGTTTATATTGTATATATTGTTTATATTAATCCGTTGTATCAAGATTATCTAGAAAAGTAACATTTATAAAATACAACCAGTTAAGTGTGTAAAACGAAGCCAAATTAAAAAGTAAATTCAAATAATAAAAATTAAGAAAATTTATTAGCTGCTTATAAATTTGATTGGTTTGCGCTCTAAATGTTAAGTTAAAAGAATAAAGACTAAGAAGTTACGAGGTTAAAAGTGGTAAAGACTAAGAAGTTACGAGGTAAAAGCGGTAAAGACTAAGAAGTTACAAGGTTAACAATTGTTTACAAACAAAGTACATGCGTGCTTTAAAAAACAAAGAAAAATAAGTTTATGATATATGCAATTGAAGATACGCAAAAAAATAATCATTTAAAGAACTAAAGTTTCCTATTTTCTTTACTTACATTAAATTATTTAACTTTATATTGGTTAGCGATACTTAGATTCCAAAATCGACCTACCCTAATACATATATATATATATATATATATATATATATATATATATATATATATATATATATATATATATATATATATATATATATATATATATATATATATATATATATATATATATATATATATATATGAACACATTTATTTTAAAAGACTTGGTGGTAAGACTGAATTTGTCTTTTTCTTGCCCCAGCTCTGTATTTATTTATTTGCATTTTCTTAATTTCGTAAACTTTTCTTATTGTCGAAATACATTAAACCTGAAATACATTAAATACATTAAGGTATAAAAAAATTGTGAAAAGAGAACTTTTTTTCTTATTCAATCAGTGGTCAATCTTGGCGAAAAAAAATATTTATGTAGGAGTTATGTAGGAGTCATGGTTGTTTTATTTTTTTTTATTTTAGATTTATTAAACACCCACTATACAAGTAAGGTAAATTAAGAGTTTCATACAAGATAAATATAAAAAATTATGGAAATTTTTTTTTTTTTGTTTTGTTTTTTTTTTTTTTCAACGTGATCATCTTGGAATATGTTTTTCAAGAATGTCCTTGAAAATAGTTCTCTGCTCTTTTAAGTTCCAGTACTCAACTGCACATTTTAGAGATTGAAGATCCGTTTCAGGAATTAAATTTTTGAGGCCGACAATTTTTTTTTTTTTTTTTACTTTCCATTATTGTCTCCAGATTTAGTTCATGATTATTGCACAACCCTTTGATACTATCTAAAAAATGTTGTGGCGCTGTTTTGTTTTTCAGCTGCAACCTAATAATATCATATGTCATTTTATTGTTCATCAAACGAATAAATGAGTTTAGCTTGTTTTGTTGTATAATAATTGATATATCTTCAATAAAAAATAAGGTATGAATATAAATTTTGCTATGTTTTGAAACATCGAGGAGTGACTTAAGTGCATTTCTTCCAACTATATCAAGTTTTTGCATTAACATTTTTTTATGTTCACACAGCTCAAGACCATACGTTAGTGTTGGAACAGCTAAAGTTTTATATAACTGAACAATGGAGTTTAGGTGAGCAAAACAGATTCCTGATTGAATTAAGGTTTGGATTACCGTCCGGAAATTAGATATTCGGTGGTCAATGTTTGATTTATTAAGTGAGGCAAAAGGGGAACTTTTTGTATCCCATGTAAAGCCTAGATGACTAAGTTTATCATGAAGTTTTATTTGTTGGTGGTTGAGAGTTATTGTGCAGTTTTTAATTTGCTTTTTTCCGGTGAGCAGGAACTCGGTTTTGTCAGCATTCAATTTTATGCAGTTTTTGTGTGTTTACATATTACATATATTAATAAGCTTTTGTAGGCCAGAGAGGGTGGAGCTAAGGAGTATAATGCTACAATACCCGTATAGTTTCCATTGATTGATGTACCTACGACGCTTACGTTTTGTAAGATTTCTAGTAGGTTTTGAGTATAAATGTTATACAAATGAGGCGAGAGAATAGATCCCTGTCTCACTCCTTGCGTTAGATAGAAAGGATATGATTTGCAATCTAAATAAAAAACAGAAGCACTGCTTTCATAGTATAATGACGATATGGTATTAACAATATACAGAGGGAGTTTTTTATCATTGTACAGTCTCTCAAACAGAATGTCCCAATTGCAGCTGTCAAACGCTTTTTCAGCATCTAGGGAACAGAGATAGACAGGTGAGTTGTTGTTGTTGTAGTGTTTAATTGTTTCACTAATAACAAATTCAGCGTCTAGGGTTGAGCTATTTTTAGTCAAACCGAATTGAAGAGGATGAGTTTCTTTTATTTCTGGACAGATTAGTAGGATAAGATATTCTATTAGTTTCGTAAAGATTGGAATGATGCTAATGCCGCGGTAGTTATTTGGATCAGTTAAGGATTTTTTATACGATTTAGTAAGTGGTATTATAAGTGATGTAGACATCGATTTTGGGGTTTGTCCATGATTAATAGAAAAGTTAAAAAATTTTCTGAGCCATTCTGTTAGTGCTTCACAGCTCGCATTCTTTAAATGTTCAGCTGATATTCCGAAGGCGTCTTTGGATTTGTTTAATTTAAGGCGAGAAATAACCGTTTTTATATTTTCATCCGATATTATTACCTCGTCGAATTTTGTGCAAGGCGGAATTTGTAGAGGCATATGTAATTGCTTTAGAGTTTAATCGATTTTCAAAACTGTAGGCAAATTCTTTCGTGATCAAGTCTTTATCTTTTTTATTATTTATGATATACAATTTCGAATTCGCATCTTTTTTTATATTTCTGAAAGTTTTCCAAAAATATTTTGGATTTGTATTTTTTAACATTTCGATTTTTATGTATTCTTTGTACCCAGTTTCCCGCCATTTTTTAAAATAAAATGAAAGAACATTTTTACTACGGCTTAATTCGGGTGTCCACCAGGATTTTGAATACAATGACGGTGTTTTAATGAATAAATATTAATTAAGGGCCTCAGATGCCGACTTTGTAATAACAGTATATACTTTGATAAGTTCCTCATCGTAATTGTCATTCGTAAAATTGTGAAAATTAAAATTAGTATTTAAGCGATTGTTATTATAATTGTAAAAAATCATTGTTATTCCAGGTATAATTTGGAATACTGTACTTGTCTGAGTTTTTATGATTGTTTTCTTGAGAAGATTGTCCAATAATTCCAACTTTAATCGATTCTGGTAAATGATCACTCATATTTTGAGATAAAAAAGGAATTACGAAACAATTGGAATAAAGAAGAGACGTATACTTTAGTAAATAAAAGACGTATATTTTAGTAAATAAAAAAAGTTTTAAATAATTAAAAAAAGCACCATTGAACTTTTTTTTTATTATTAAAATTTATTAGAAAGAAATTTGATTCCTTGCTGGCCTCTCTAAATGCCCTGGCCCCGCAGCGACTGCCTAGGCTGGACATGTGTAAAGACGGGCCTGCATATATATATATATATATAATATATATATATATATATATATATATATATATATATATATATATATATATATATATATATATATATATATCAATAATAAAAGTAATTTCTCGGTAGAGAGTGCTCAATACAAAAGTAGAGCAAATATGTATTAAATTAATAATAAAATAAATACAATTAGATTTGAAACATAACTCGGAGTTTCACGCTTTATGCGATCATCAGACGTTACAAACAACCGTAACAACAACAAAAATTATATATACAAAAATACAATACAGTGTTATCTTAGATTACGTTAAAGTTGCAAATAACAAATTTGTTTTCGTGGCGACATTTTGATATTAGTTCATTTCGTTTATTCAGTAGTTTCAAAGATGACGTGATGATATGGTATTTTTCGGTTAAGCAAAGGTTACATAACTTTCCTCCAGGTTTAAATGGTTCCGCCCTATCAATAACTTTCCACGTAAGAATAGGATTTGAAAATCCCTTTTTTTTCATTTCCCAGATATATTTCGAAAGTTCTGTGGTGTTAGCTTTACTTTCGTATTGAAAGGAATTTTTATGTTTGTACCAGCGATCTTTAAAGGTGTGTTCCGTTAGACCAATATAATTAAGACCACTATCCTGCGGTGATGTTTTTACATTGCAGACGTAAATTATATTTTTACTGAGACACATACCTTGCAAAGGACATTGAGAAGGTTGCCGGCAGTTACATGTTGGAACAATTGTGTTGGAAACATTAGATAATATTTTTTTATTGTGTGAATTAATAATATTGGTGATGTTAGGAAGGCAGCTATAACTAACTTTTAAATTATTCTTATTAAAAATTTTTCGAAACTTATGTGTTTTTGGAAAATGCTTTTCAATTAGATTTAGAAAATTTTTTGCGATGTTGGTTTTTACATTTTGTGAAAACGGAGGATTAAACCAAATAATGTTTCTTGATCTTGATTTTGGTTTTTTTCCAAAAACACATAAGTTTCGAAAAATTTTTAATAAGAATAATTTAAAAGTTAGTTATAGCTGCCTTCCTAACATCACCAATATTATTAATTCACACAATAAAAAAATATTATCTAATGTTTCCAACACAATTGTTCCAACATGTAACTGCCGGCAACCTTCTCAATGTCCTTTGCAAGGTATGTGTCTCAGTAAAAATATAATTTACGTCTGCAATGTAAAAACATCACCGCAGGATAGTGGTCTTAATTATATTGGTCTAACGGAACACACCTTTAAAGATCGCTGGTACAAACATAAAAATTCCTTTCAATACGAAAGTAAAGCTAACACCACAGAACTTTCGAAATATATCTGGGAAATGAAAAAAAAGGGATTTTCAAATCCTATTCTTACGTGGAAAGTTATTGATAGGGCGGAACCATTTAAACCTGGAGGAAAGTTATGTAACCTTTGCTTAACCGAAAAATACCATATCATCACGTCATCTTTGAAACTACTGAATAAACGAAATGAACTAATATCAAAATGTCGCCACGAAAACAAATTTGTTATTTGCAACTTTAACGTAATCTAAGATAACACTGTATTGTATTTTTGTATATATAATTTTTGTTGTTGTTACGGTTGTTTGTAACGTCTGATGATCGCATAAAGCGTGAAACTCCGAGTTATGTTTCAAATCTAATTGTATTTATTTATATATATAATATATATATATATATATATATATATATATATATATATATATATATATATATATATATATATACATATATATATATATATATATATATATATATATATATATATATATATATATATATATATATATATATATATATATATATAAACAATTTAAAATGTATTCTACAAAAAGAGTGCTTAATGTTCTTAAAAGAACAGAGCAATTACAAATTAGTAGAAAATCACTTAGCAAAATTTCTGATGAGTCTTTATTGATGAAACACAGTGTTAAATGAGAAAAAATTTTGCTAAGTGATTTTCTACTAATTTATATATATATATATATATTTATATATATATATATATATATATATATATATATATATATATATATATATATATATATATATTTATATATATATATATATATATATATATATATATATATATATATATATATATATATATATATATACATACATAGATATATATATATATATATATATATATATATATATATATATATATATATATATATATATATATATATATATATATATATATATATATATATATATATATATATATAACTTTAAAACAATTTATTTAAGGAATATCTATCAAAAATAAATGTGGTTCATCGAAATCTTTCTGCAAGTAATATTTTAGTTGGTGCTAAGAAAAATGTAAAAATTTCGGATTTTGGTTTGTCACGAAAAATCCAAAATGAATCGCAATACATTGGCAATAAAATTCGTCATGTACCAATTAAATGGATGTCAATTGAAGCACTCCTTGATCTAGTATTCATGTCATACAGTGATGTGTAATTTTTTTATTTATTTTTGTTTTTCTGTGAAAATATAAAATACTACATATCGAATTTTTTGATTGGCTGAAATATAAGGAATTTACGATTTAAACTTAATTTTGATTAATTCTTTAGTTGGGCGTTTGGTGTTGTTTTATTTGAAATCGTTACTCTTGGTAAGTTATTAAAAATTGATAGTGAATATAATTAGGTTGCGTGTATATATAAATGTATATATGTGTATATATATATATATATATATATATATATATATATATATATATATATATATATATAATATATATATATATATATATATATATATATATATATATATATATATATATATATATATATATATATATATATATATATATATATGAGAAATAGATATATAGATATGAAGATCGATAGATAGATTAATTGATAGATAGACAGATAAAGAGAGAGATTTTAATTAATTTTTATAATCACTTTTATTTTGGTAATAGGTGGAACACCTTATCCAACAATAAGTAATCATAAACTTCTTGGATTTTTAAAGTCTGGTTGCAGAATGGATCGACCAGAAAATTGTTCTACTATAATGTACGCAATTAATTTGCTGTTTTATTTGTTTTGCTTTTTTTTTTTGTTGTTGTTGCTCCGCTTTTTGGAGTTCTAAACGCTTTGAATTTTTAGATACAACATCATGCTGCACTGTTGGAGTGAAGATCCGTTACAACGCCCAACATTTTCAGAATTACGAAACCATCTTGAAGAATTATTATTACAAGGCGGTTTTTATTTCAGCTTTGATATTAATGAAAATAACGTGTATTATAATGCTACCTCCTTTAACCATCTCCCATCTGAAACAGGCAATGGCTCCCATGAAGTAGAGAGAATCCGTAATGCTCATATAACCGTGTGAAGAAGTTTATTTATGTATTGATTTTCAATCAACATAGCGAAGGAGGATTTAAGTAAAACCTAACTTCGGATTAATTATAGCATTTCTATTCAATTGGTTATTAATTTCTAATCAGGTTTATTAGTTAAATTCGTAACCTCAGCATGGTTTTTGAAACTCCGTTGCGCTAATTAAACCTTAGGTTTAATTACTTGCACTTTTTAAAGGTCTTTAGGTGCACTTTATAAATCTTTTATATACAGTCAAATATGCTTTTGAATATTCTCTATTTTTAAAGTAGCGTGAATTTTTTCTATAAGATTGATATTTTAAAGATTAAAGTTGTTAAATGGTTATGAAGCCTTATGAAAGTTGCTAGAAAATATTTCGTTATGTCTTTAATATTGTTTTTTGAAAGAAAAAAAATGAAACACAACAAGTTAAATAGCTTTGTTTGGTTGTAAGCTAACTTTAGATAAAAATTAAAAACTTCAACTTGTAGTAGAAGTTTTTTTGCTTTGATCTAACGTTAAAATAGCTAATTTTAGATATAAAAAGAAAAACTTCAAATTGTTGTCAACTTGAGTCAACTTGTAGTGTGTTATAGTATTTTTTTTTGAATAAAAAGTATATTGATTAGTTTATTGATAAATTTTTTGGTACTTATTTCAGCTGCAATGAACATCTTTTTTTTTTTTTTTTAATTACAAAATAATAGATATTAACAAATTTTATAAACTATTTCTGCATAATAAATAAATATATCCTCTTTACAATTAAAGGAATATTTCCATTTTTATGTTTTTTATAATATTCGTTCATAATAATAAAAAAAGGTTTTTCACATAAGTTTTAACATTGATTTTTTCGAATATATTTAATAATAAATATGCCTATTTTTTTTTAAATAACTTTTTGACTTTTATATTTTGTTGTGTTTTTTGTTTGTTTTTTTTATTTTTATGCCTTTGTTCGGAAAGAAATCAAGAATAAGAAAAAGGTTTCAGAAGAAGTTGATTAAGTTTAATTAATTAATTTAAGTGTAAAAAGAATTTATTAAGTAAAATAAAAATAAGGTAGAGGACTTAAACACAAATACTACGTTACTAAAAGCTACAGAGAAACATGCAAATAATATGTTATATCATAAACAAAAGGCCGGCAGTGGTTGTCTAATCATAAATAACAACATTTTTGTAGTAATTAAAGAAATTATATTTGTAGAAAACAGGAAACACTTAACTAAACATTTAGTTCTTGTTATAAGCCTGTGTATTTGTTTAGCTCATATGTTTAGTTTGAGGTTCCCAATTTCTATTTGACAAAAAACGTTATTGACACAAAAAGTTTGACAGAAAATGTCCGTATTGTTTCTACGGACATGATAATTATATTTTAAAGTAATAATATTTCTGATAATTATCCTGATCACTGCCATTGGGTTGATTTTTGAATTGTTAAACAAATGGTGGCATCTGCTGTTCCATATTTCACTCATAACCCGACGGGCATTTGTTTTTAAAAGTTACGATCTAAATGTATTTTAAATGTCTTTTATACGTCTTTTAAACATTTATGTTTAAAAGACATTTAAAACACATTTAGAACGTAACCTTTAAAAACAAATGCCCGTCGGGAATGGTTTGAGTGATTGTCAACAGCAGTTGCGAGGTAGGGTTTTTCTTCTATAAATTCGCAGTTTCAATCGAAAATATCGAATTTATTGGAGAAAAGTTGTTTTGGGATGTCAAGGATTATATACATGTTTAAAGTATTCCCATATTGTAACAGAAGGAGGACAATATGCAAATATGTGCAGGTTGTCCTCAATTTATCCGCAAGTTTTACATCTGTTGTTTTTAACGATCTGTTGCCTTGTGCTTTTGGCAAGCAAGGCAGCGGAAGGTAATCTGTTGTGAAGAAATCGAAGGAGAATGCTTTGTGTTGGTCCGTATGCGTGGGAGGTAAAGTTTTTTTTCCAAATCTGGGTCCACGGCAGTGTTGTTTTTGTTGAACTGTTTCAGAAAAGTTCGGCAGGCATGCCTGTCTTTGTTTTTTGCCACTTCTAAGTAAATATTTTTTGTTGTTTTTAAGCGGATGTTAAACAGGGACCCGTATTTGGTTAAGAATTCAATTGTGGTTTTGTAGTACTGAGACATTTTGTTGTCCCAGTGTTTTGGAAAAGTGTTTTGTCTTAAAAAGTTCCAGCTTTGGTTTTGTTTAGTAAATTTTACAAGTGAACTTGCCAATTAATACTTTGAAAAGTAGTAAGAATCGTGAGTTTTGCCCTCTTTACACTCTTTTATTTGGAAAAGCGTTTTGAGGCGGATCACAAAACTTTGCTTCTTCGGTAATAATAATCCGAGACCCCCGCTTTTGACGGGTAGGAAAAGTGTCTCTTGTTTGACCGGTGTAGCGGTAAATTAAGACTCCAAGAACTTGCGATTCAAAAAGAAAATTTACAAAGAAGTTTTTAAAAAACTGTAAATAGAATTTAGAACAGAATCAAAGTCAAAAGGTATAGTCATATCATTGTCTTGATTGATTATTTTTCAAAATAGTCCGAGGCTAAACCTATCAAGGAAAAATCAGCTCAAACTGTCTCTCAATTTTTGCACGAGATTATGAGTCGGCATGGGTGCTTTAAAATCCAAATCAATGACCAGGGTCGGGATTTTGTAAACGAAGTATGTAAACAACTACACGAACTAACTGGAGTAGAGCAGAAAGTTTCGTCTGCTTATCACCTCAGGCAAATGGATTGGTAGAACATCAAAACCGAACAATAAAGAATTTTTTGGTAAAGGTTTTGGAAGGTAATCCTAAAATGTGGCCGCAAATTATTGAGGGTATTATTTTTGCTCATCGCGTTAGTCGACATTCTTCTACTAACTACTCTCCATTCATGCTGATGTGTAATCGCGAACCAATTTTGCCATTTGATGTGAAGCATAGTCTTGTCAAAGACGAAAGCAATAAACAAGAACACCTGAATCATGTCTGAAGTAAGCGAAAATATAAAAGTTGCGCAGAAAAAGCAAAAAACGAGATTATAATAGTAGACATGTGTCAAAGTCAGAAAATAAGGTAGATGACATTGTTTTATTGAAAAACAACAAACGATTTGATCGGAAGGGAGGGAAGTTTTCACAAAAATGGCTCGGTCCTTTCACTGTAGTGAATATCTCTGAAAAAGGAGTTGCAACTTTAAAAAACGCATTTGGGTTAACTCTTAAAAAAAACATACAACATTGTTCAACTTAAAACTTATGTTCAAGGAGCAGACGACAAATTAAAACCAATATTAGTTGAAGGATCTGCATTTTTTTGGAATCATGCACCAGACGAAATTGTTGAGATGATTTTGATGTATACCGTGCAACAATCGGAGAACTCATTCCCTGGTCACAAATGTGAGACGTATGCAAGTATCAAATCAACGTATAGTAAGTGGGCCCGTTTAATTGAAAGAAAAGGCATTATCTTACTTCCAAAGATATATATTGATTTGTGGAAGCCTCTTGGAAAGCCCTCCGATCATAATAATGAAAGTAATACTGTAAGTGCACAAACGTTAATAAAAACTTTTGGAAAATCTAGTGGACTAGCTAGTCAACTATCAAATTGCGTAAGTGATAAAAAGTGGCAATCTTCATGGCTTATCTTGACACCTCATAAACACTCTTGGTATACCATAAATCGAATCTTCTGGAAAACAAAGGTATGTCAGCCAAATCAATCATCTTTGAACTGTATGAGCTCACAGAGGCAGATAAGGAAATTTTAGAAAGTAAAGATAGCTGGTTGAACGACAATCTTATGGATGCAGGGCAAAAGTTAATTTGTAAGGCTCTTGGTAACCATGAAACTTACCAATCAGTATTAAACTGCTAGAAAAAAAAGTCCACATATTTCCCAGTTTCTGGCGACCACCTTTAAATATTGTACAACGGTAGTTCTCATTGGCTATTAGCATTTGCTTTAAATGGCAGGGTTCAAGTCTGCGATAGCCTGCGCACTAACCTAACATCGATTTCGAAAAAATGTTTAAAATCCTTCTTTCAACCAATTGTGAAGAATGGAAAGTTTGAAGTAACATTTCTTCCCGTTGATAAGCAAATTGATAGTTTCAAATGATAGTTAAAAGAAATTAAAAAAATTGATAGTTTCAATTTTTTTAATTTCTTTTTACTATTTTCTTTTGATTATAGATTAGTAACTAGTCTTAACATACTTGTAAATAATTGTATATAATTTTTTAAATGGCACAAAGTAATTGTATATTTAACTTTTAATGGTTGTACACGCTTGCTTATGAAAGCACGTCGGGTGTAGTGATAAGGCAAGTATTGTCTTCTTTTAACCCCGGTCATGAAGATCTTATTTATACTACACGGCATTGTATTCTTTTTTTTTACTGACGAAATAAATAAAATAAAAAAATTTAAAAAAATAAAAAAAAATTGTGGTATCTTTGCTCTGGGTTATGCAAGTATATTGCTTGACGGAAAATCCCCTCTTGATGTTTGATTTGTTAAAATTTGTTTATAATCATTACAAAGCAAATCGGTAACCAATACTATTTTCGCAATATTTAAACAATTTTCTATGTAGTGTCTATCATTCTATTAAAATTACTCTAGTATATTTCTTAGAGTTTTTTTTTAAGTTTCACTCCCCCAGGCGATGATTACCTATTTGAAAAATAATGAAAAAACTTATTTGATCTCATTCTATATTTTATGGACTTCTTTTTGACAATCGTTATTTTTATAAGTTGGATGAAGGTTATTATAAGACCTTATTAGCGAGTTAAAAAAACAATTTTTATTTATCTTGTGACATGCAGGGCCGACGACAAGGGAGAGAGGGAGGTAGGGCCAGGGTGCAAGTGCCTCTCCTCACTTACTTTTTATTTATTAAAGTTGAGAATTTTTATAAAAAATTAAGGATTTTTATTTTAAATAAGGTAAAGTACCCCCTCCCTCCCCCCCCCCCCACACACACACACACTGCAAAAACCGTGTCGTCGGCCCTGATGAAGATTGAAAATATGACGTTCAAATAAAAGTCGCAGCAGACAACATTGATATTTTACACTTTAGCAATATTTTTTAAAAAAATTTATATATATACTCTAACGAAATATTCATAAAAGCACGTTTACATAGTTTTCCATGTTATTTAACATAAAAATCTTCAAGTGAAGTCTTTTTCTTGTAAACCCCCTCACTCCCACTTTGTTTCTTTTTATCCTTCTTATCCCAACCCCCTCCCTCCTTTTTTGCAATATGGTTTTTATGGTTGACCCCTTGAGCAATTCATTTATCTTTTTTTAAAGAAAAAACAATGAATAAAAAAAAGTAAAACTTCATTTCATTAAACTTATTCATTTCTATATT